TATATACACTTTACTAGTGCATTGTTCTCAATATGCTTTTATGCATTTTTTAAATAAAACCAAAATTAACAATTGTAAATTAAATAATTAAATATTTTTTTGGGGACCCCTAAGCTACTCACGGACCAATAGGGGTCTTGGGACCCCTTTTTGAGAACCTATGCTCCAACTAAAGTACAATGAAACCCATCCCATCATAATAACCTTCACACTAAACACATTTAATATTTAACAAGACAGTTAACTTAGATCACTAAAGCTCCATGATATTTATATGACTTCACAAAAAATGAGAGAAACAATAAACCAACCATTTAGCACTTTCTATTACCTCCAAAAACATGCTCATGTTCACTATTATTAAGAAGATTTAGCAATAAAATTGTCTTTGTGAGACAACTTCACCATTAACAATATACCTAAAATCATAGGAATAAATACAGAATATAAATACATATTTGAATTGCTTAATAAATAGAAAATTAAACACATAAATAAACTTTTGGAAATATATGTTTTTTCTACTTCAGTCAGGTAAAATTTCGATTTAAGAACAAAAAGCTTCTAATAGCTTAGAAGGAACAGAGGCATCAAATTAACTACTGGYTAAGAGCATTTTGTGCAAGAAACAGTTGTGCTAATAGATTTTGTAATGTCCCAAAGAATTAACTAAATTAAATTAAAACATCTTACTTAGAGTGAGATGTGGGTATTATATCCGTTTTTGATGCCTCACATTGGAGATGTGGAGAAAACKAAATCGATTTTTAGCACAGCTGTTTCAAATGTTTTTAGTAATGACTTTGAAACATCTGATTTGTGTATGAATTTCATAGATTAACATGATTTTAATGTCATTTGCTTTTGTGTGGCGTGTTCAAAGCTAGGTTAGCATCTATGGAAAACGAGTCATTTCATTTCAATTTCAGAGTTTTAAAAAACATCCTAAGCTTAACAGCTGCCTCCAGGTAAGCAAACCTGATAATTACAGCTCAATTCAATTTGGTTTATTTATATATCAGCAAGTCACAACAAATGTCATCTCACATGTCATTCACAGCAAATGCAAAAAAAAAAGAAAGAAAGGAAGAAAGAAAGAAAGAAGGAAAGAAAGAAAGAAAGAAAAAAAGAAAGAAAAGAAACTAAAACCCTTGTATTTATCAACTGATTGATGTTGCCTGCTTCATTATCTGATAAGTGCTTTGAGTAACTCCTGCTCTAACATGAGTTTTTATTCAAATGTGATGGATCAGTTCTGATTACAGAGCATCAGGGTWATACTCTAACAACCTCAAACAGATAAAAGCCTGATCTATCAGGGAATCCATCCATCCATGTACTTCATATACTTTTTTTTCTTTCCAGGTTGAAGAGGATCATTGTGATGTTGAACACCCTGAACAGGTTGCAAGGCCTTTACAAGACCACAGAGACACAACTATCCACACTCTCACTCACACCATTGGACAATTTAGAGTTATCAATTAACCACATTTGTACAGGGAGAACATGCAAACTTCACACAGAAAGGCCAGGAGGTGAACCTGTGACCTTCTTTCTGTGAGGCGACAGCGCTAACCACTGTTCTGCCACGCCACCTATTGAGGAATCCAAAAGGGCAAGTTATCTTTGTCATTTTTTGTTTTATTTTTAAGGGTCAAGCAGCAAYGCATCACACAGTTTTCTCAGTTGTTGGTCAGCCCACATGACATTATCCTGAAAGATACATTTGAAGCCATCTTAGCTCATCCATTTTCAACCCTGTTCAGGGTTGCAGGGAGCTGGAGCCTACTGTATCTCCAGCAGTCAACTGTTGAGACACAGGACACAATCTGGACAGAACACCAATCCATCACAGGACCAACACAAAGACACACAAAACAGACAAGCATGTAAAGTAATAATAAAAAAATGCAGTATGGATTAATAACACTTTTGATTTTACGACAGCATATGTAAAACATTAACAATGTATACACACACACTTAAAATGGATTTCATGCACAATTACTATGTATATGTGCAGATAACTTCACAACAGGATAAATGTCTCTCTCTCTCTCTCTCTCTCTCTCTCTCTCTCTGTGTGTGTGTGTGTGTGTGTGTGTGTGTGTGTGTGTGTGTGTGTGTGTGTGTGTGTGTCTTTAATGATAACCATCTGCATGGCCTCAAACATCTCATAACACGAGTGTAATTTTTGTCTAAGTAGCAGACAGATGGTGTCATGCTCCATTCACACTGCTGTGATGAAACAGTGCACACATGCGCACAAAAAATAGTGACAAACAGACACAGGCTTTTCTTTTGGGGATTGTGGTGACATTCAAAGCCAAAATGAGTAATATGATGATCATTTTAGGGCTGCTGTGGTAGCCTTAAAAAACTCAGGACATTTCCAATCAATTCTATCTGTTTTAGTATTAACTGGYTTCAAGGCAACAGCAGCAACCTGAAGCAAGTTAATCAGCTCATTAATTCTGGCTCTGTATGTCACCTGCATCCTTAAGAAACCTTGCATGTCCCCAAAGTCACGCCCGCAAAAAAAAAAAAACAACAACAAACAAACAAACAAATAAATAAAACTCTCATCTTATCACTTCATTCTTCACTATACATTGCTTTGTGCTTATTGTTAGTCCCACATTAAAAATCCACACACCTGCACACAAGTTATTGCCACTTTTGTAAAGCATGCAGTTCATCATTTTATTGCTTTGTGACTCCGGGAACAATAGCTTGGGTTGGCCAGAAGCTAACAGGGATTCAAATTAATCACTGTATGAGTGTTTTCTTCTCCATAAAAACAACTTTGTTATTATCGAACCAACTCCAGCTGTCTAAAAATGGAARAAAACGCTTTTATTGACTCCAGCACTTAATATTCAAGACCAGTGTTTCTGTTCTGTGATGCTTGAAGAACACTTGTGRTTGCAACTGAAGATTTTTAAACTGTTTTATTTCTTCCCATGTCTCCATGCTGATTTTCCCTTGCATGCTGGTCACTTGTCTCCTTTCTGTTTCCACATATTAAAACCTACTGAACCTGCTAATCCTTCTGTCTAATGGTTTCCTCCATTTCAAGCCCTTCCCTCTGCTCTTTTGGTCTTCTCGCACCATTTTGRACATTTCCACCCTGCTTTTGTCTTTTAGGCATATTTCTCTCGGCACAATGCAGCCAGYCAACACATTTTATGAGCCTAATTTCTTTTTCTCACGGTGTGTTTACAGGTTTGGGGGCAGGTATTGATTTGCCTCTCTTGATCTTTCCCATCACTCACTTCCTCTCTCACCTGTTTAACTTTTGCATTCTTCTTCTCACCACAATGAAGGCTCATTACGTTTTCTTCTTTTCCTTTTGCGTTCACTTGCTTTAATCACTACTTTTTCCCAAATCATTTTTTCCTCTTAATCTCTACAGTACTCTGTATTTTTTCCCTCCCATTGTACATTGTTTTGTCTCTTGAGTTTTTCTTCATCTCGCTTTCTTTAACATTTTAAGGTTTTTCTTTTTATCCAAAAAGCTCTCACCTACTACTGTTGTTTTAATTACTACATTCATTCRTCTAACAACATTAATAAGAACTTAGACTAGCTTACAACACTGATCTTGTGTATTCATTTGTGTTTTGTGAACAAGTGAGAAGGAGAACAATAGCGAGAAAGATAGAGAGGAAGAGGGAAGAGAAGGAAACTAAAGAAAAAATAGCAAAATTGGGGACTAAAGTTGARAAATGATTGAATAAAAAGAGAGAACAAAATGGAAGTGACCTTAAAGCCATCTCTTTCACATGCTTTCTTATTCTTCTCTCAAACCTATATCTTCCATTTCAGTTTATTTCCAAGTCATTTTTTTATTATTCAAAGTACGTTTTACCTCTGCATCTTTCTTTAGTTCCCTTTCAGTTCAATCTATCCTTGTTTACTGTATTTTTTTTTCATCTCAGTTCCAAGTCTCTGCAACAGAGAGAGCCAGCAGGAAATTCTTTGTTTGTGGGAAGTGGCAGCAGGGAGGAGGAATTGTTCCATTTTTATTGTTGTTGAGAATCATAAGTCTACACTAGGTTGTACAATACAACACATTTCATTAAAGGTGACCTAATATGGGGGTCCTAGAACAAGTTAGGATCCATTTTTGGGCTCTACAAAACATGTTCATTTGATTTAATTCACAAAATTAATCTCAGAAAATGAAATTTCATCTTTCAGTTCTGCCTGTTCTACAGCTCTCTTCAGAACCTTCTGTTTTGCATAAGTTTCTATGGAAACCTCCTCCCAACCTTTTGTTTATGTTATATCTGCCCCTTCCCTCCACCAGAAGTTTACTTTCAGTTTCATTTCAGTAGAAAGTATGATTTTTTCCAAATTAGTTCATGGTGAAATTATTTACCCATACTACAACTTTCTTTGTTAATATTGCTGGAACATTGACATCAAAAATAAAAGATGCATATAAATAAAAATAAAATGAAGCCACACATCTCTGTTCTCCATGACTGTTCTAAAACAGCAGAACTGTCCTGTGAAGAAGTGGGCGGAGTCTCTGCTTGGGTTACCAGGAGAAGAGCTGGGCTCAGGTTGGGGTGGGCTGGAGTGTGACTTGTGACATCACAAGTAGTGGTGATTGAAAACAGGTCATTTCATGACAAAGAAAAATACATTTACTTATAGTAAAAATACCTCCAAGTGCATTTTTTTTTGGTGTTTGGACTGTTTTTAGAAGCAGTACAGACCCAAATGTGAGTACAAAAACAAACAAAAAAAAACTGAAAAAAGTTTATGTATTTTTTTTTACTTTTTGGTTGCACTTGTGCAGGAAACGAGGACTTTCAGTGAACAAACCATGACTCATCATTGTTACTCTTAGGAGAAAGGTTAATCTCTGTGTGTCCCAAACTTCTTGCTTTAACCCACAGTTCAAAGACTGTAATTTCAGTAAATCGACTAACCTTGAAATACATTTTTTTAAACTCACCTAAATTTTACCTTGTTTCCTTTTTTTTTCAGCAGCAACTGCAGAACTATCATAATAACATTTACAAGGTTTTTAAACAAAGTTAAACAATGTAAAATTTTATGCAAACATGGCACAAGCTCCCACGGGATTTACAAAACAAGTTTCACTGCTCATTTACTAAAATGGCTCAAACTAACACAAGGTCTAAATATCAATCAGATGCTGACACTCTTAGACACTCTCATTCTTACAAGAATGATTTTTGATACCTTTGCAGCTGGGTTTAGTTTGGTTCCAGGTTCCATCTTTAGTGCAGCGCAAAACACTGTGTCCAGGCCCAGGCAGTTCCATCAAATAGCCAGGGTTACAGCGGTAGGTTATTGTGTGGTTGAAGGTAAACTCACTTCCAAAATAGATGCCGTTGGCTACCGGGCCAGGGTCTCCACAACTGATCACTACAGAAAGTAACATGAAAACTTTGCTGGTGAAATAAATACATCAATCAGACGATGTTTCAGCTGTATGAGAACACATGGGACTCGTTTTTTGGCATGTTTGTTGTATTTATTCTTTTTACTATAAATACAGCTTCACTTACTGTGCTCTCAATCATACTGTGGAAAACATTTTTACATTTCAACATTTTTTCCTCAMAGACAGCCTTAACTCCCTTGACATACACCCTAGCTTTATTTTCTCTACCTCCTACATTTTATAGTCTGCCTCTTCTGAACTAAAAAAGTTGGAATTTCAGACACACTCACACACATAAACACACTACATTCTGTACTGCAGTGACATCTAATTCACGCTCAGTTCAATCTACTTGAAACGTAACCAAATAAGGAAGGAACAGACACCACTAATGATACTTTACTGCCTCAATAAAGCTAGCCCACCCTTTTCTAATTTCTTGTAATAATGACTACACCTCATGCTGCTGAAWTGTAAAAAAATAACTTTAGTGATTGGGTTAAAGTGGTCCTACCAGTGCAATCTGGGGGCTGACCCGTCCACGTCCCATTTGTTGTGCAGTGTCTGGTGGTCAGGCCAGATGTTTTGAATCCTTCCCAACATGCGTAAGCCACGGAGCTGCCGAAAGTGATACCATCGCTGAAGACAATTCTGCCATGTGCGGGAGTTCCAGGGTTACCACAGGACACAGCTGAGAGTGTAGGAAATAAGAGTCATTGTTGATKAAAAGTATATGTATAAACAATGGAGTCTTCTTGTCGATCTGTGCTGATCTGATGTGACAATAAGACAAACTACAGTAACAGCTGGGAATAGCATAGCATTATCAAGGTAAATTAATAACTAAATGCAGCTGGAATGATTCCTAACACTGTGTGGCAGGTGATCTTAAAGTTGTACATTTAAGCTAACATGAAGCAGCTACCAAATTGACAGCATCAATAATATCTGCCAACGTGATACAATTACAGTATTAAAAACACACCAAGGTTAGCTGTTGTCTTGTTCTGTATGCTGGCAGAGAAAAAGAGACTTTGAGTCAGCTAATAGGGTTGGGAGTTTTAATATTTGCAGACAAAACTAACAACAGAAGCGGAACTGATCATGCATTGGGGCTGCAGAGCTAATTTTTCAGTTATCACTTGTGGACAAGTGTCCTTTCTGACTCGTCTTCAGGAAAACAAAGTATTAGTATTGGAGTATCTGTTTTGTAATAATGAACATATAACCCTCCAGTAAAATGCAGTTTTTGGTTCTAAAGATTATAAAAAGAACACAACCATGGGATGGTCCTTAAATGAAGACAGGAAATGTCTAAACCTCTGATTTATTAAACTTTAGTTTGCTGGCAAAGCACATTAACAGAATCTGCAGGAATTAGCAACCAACCGCAGCACATTTCACTAATAAGATCATGACAGCTGACAGGCCTGAACAATCAACCACCTATTGATTAGATCCATTTGTTAGGACCCTTAAAAGCTCAATGCAAGAGTAAATCTTTCTTTTTTTTCATCTAACATTGTTGGGGTGTGTGTTGTGGCAGCAGTGTGCAGATGTGTTTTGGTTTGTTTGTGTGTGTGTAAGTGTGTATGGATTTCTTTGTGTTTGTGTCTCAGTGATAGATGTCTCACCCTTTCAGAATCAACTTTTACCCACTATTAGCCTAATGAAAAACAACTGTAGACAGACCTAAATAATTAGCCTTACATAAACAAAGACACTGGCACAGGCAAGCAAACACACATCTTTGAGGTGTGTGTGGGGGTGTATTTTTTTATTTATTTTTATTATTTCTCAGAAATTACAAGACCAGAGGGATAGATTTTCATGTTTTATCTGCATGTAAACAAAGTACACCTCAGAATGGGAAAAATAAATTTAGAGCTTGTCTATAATAAAAAAAAAAAGGTTGAAACTACATTTTATAGTGTATGCTCCAAAAGAATATCCTCTTGTATTTAATCATGTTTGCAGCTCTGGGATTTTTTTAAAACTTTATTGGCAAATTAACTTTGATGAACAGAAATATATCAAACTAAAGATGCAACCAGGAAACAACTGTCAATATCTGTTCAATTATATCTATAAATGCACATTTTTTGTTCTTTCTTGATCTTCTTTTTGTGTATCAGTGATGTTGTGCATCACAGCCTTTCATTCAGCCACTCACTGATACTCAGGTGTACATTGAAACTGTATGACTCACTCCTCCAATAACAACCCATCAAACTAACTGATTCAAAAACCTGAATAACAACACCCCAGAGTTCTTTATTCAGCTGAATTTCTTAGGAGGGAAAAGGTAGGTAACAGAGAGCAGCATGGGAATCCAGTATTTCTACAGTTGTGTGGAGACCCACTTCAATATCCCCTAAATTCCCACGGGCCTWAAGAGTTTCTTTGAAAACTGCTGCTATTCAGAATGCACTTTATTAGCACAGAACCATAGATGAGCCACTTCATTCAGTTAGGAGCAAGACACTTCAACACTGCACTTTGTATCTGGGCCACATTACACATGCACAAACAAGTTTGCAACTTTTTTTTGGAAAAATGACTAATTTTAGGAACCTCTTCCCTGATGTTAATTTTTCTGCTGTGTTATAAATATTCATTTTGGGAAAAAACAATGAAACACCATGTACATAACTCTATAAATGTTTCATATTTGTTTTACAGTTTTGTGATTTTTACACTGTTGTGTAAGAGTCATACTAGCTGCAAGTTGATGTATTCAAAACTTTGCAGGAAACAGGCTGAAATGCTCATTAATTTATGTTAGTAATAGTGTCATAGCCAGTAGCAATCGGGTAAAGAAATTTAGTCTGTAGAGCAAGACAGCTTTTTTGACTGTGAACCAAGTTGCGCACAAAAATAAGAAGGCTCTTGCAACTTTTGTTTTAAGTAAACTTTGCTAACAAAGTAACTGMCTTCTGAAATTTCCATTTTATCATGATTGGTACAACTTTGTACATTGTTAAGGTATTACAGAACACAGACACAAAACATCAGAGAAGTTCAGGTGAACACATTTAGAGTTTATTTCTACTTTAATTTATGAATGTTTACATCTAAGCTGGCACATATAGGCAATTACCAAACATCTCCTATATGTGTGCTGTAAAATCTACAGCATAACATCCCTTGCTTGATAATGGCTCAGTTGCTTATTGTAAGTAGTCTGCCAAGAAAACAGATGTTGCTGTATGCTTCTAATGACAGGCTTCACTTGTCGTATTCTGAAGMTCAGATAAATTTGTACACTTAATGCTGAAAAATTCACATCACTCAAACATGCTAAGAATTTATGCAGAAGGTGAACTAACTCATTTTATATCAATGTTGCTTTTTGCTGCAATGTTTTAAGGAAACTGGGTTGGGACCCATAGGGARTGAGCTAGGAATAACTTACAAACAAAATGTTTGACCAAGATAAACAGTTCTCTATATGATTTGTTGTCACATCACAGACCCTTGCATAAATAAAGCAGCAGTATTTTTTTCCAATGAAATAAGGTCAATAAAAGGGATTGTATAAATAAAAAAAAACTGTTTACAGCAGCACAAAATGTTCTATTTTGCTCAGCAGAACAATCACTTCTTTGATTCTCAAATAGTGCAAAGCYAAGTGGCGTGACAAAGAAATGTAGGTATTTTGTCAACAGTCCAAGTTTCTAATAAAGTTTCAGTGATTTTTCCAAAGTTAGATAATCAAATATCAAAGCGAGTGAGCCACATGACTGGACATTTCCACGCTTCCTACCTTGACACACAGGCTGTGTACCACTCCAGCTGCCATTGTGAAGGCATGTCCTCTCAGCGGAGCCAATCAGATTATATCCTGCCTCACAGCTAAAACGCAGAAGGCTCTTGGTCTTAAATTCTTCTCCTCCCAATCGGGCACCATGGGGAGGGATCCCTGGGTCTCCACATATTCCAGCAACAGCACCTTTAGTGAAARGGGAAATTTCAGGTTAATGTACCAATGCAACAAAATGTGTTTATGAATGACAAAACAAACACCTCTATGCAATTCAGGACTGATAGAGCTGTAAGCATAGATGCCACAAACTAAAGTACATCTATTTGCACAGGAAATAAAGTTAAACCAAATACTTTTAATGGGAAGGACAAACTACATTAGGCTGGTTTCTGTACAACTTTTATGGGTTTGTCAAATTTGTCTTGAAATCAGTGAGAGTAAATGCTCCTGACTAGGATAATTAAGCCAAATATGGCCACATGCTTATATTCAGAATATTAGTTTAAAAGTTGTTCTGCAAGAGTAGCATCAACACAATTTTTCCCACTCCATACTTTGAAAGCCTTGGCACACCAAAGGATGCATAARCCCTAACGTGCAAACTTTGTAAATCTGTCTCATTTAACATATGGAACTTGTTGCAATTTAGACAGCAAAATATCATTTAGAGGGATTTGTGAGTTTAACTGGGTACAGCTTCAAATGCAGAGTCTTGCATCTCAATGAGGTCTTTAGCTGCAGGTTGGATTCTGCCCTGCTGAGTGTTCTGTTTTGAGGCCAGCAGTGTAAGCTTATTGCATTTCAGCTATTGAGACAGTAGATGCTGAGTTTGGAAATGATCGGTTTTACTGTTGTGGGGTCTGTGTAAGCCGACTGCCAAGCAACACTTACAACCTGTTCAGTGAACAAAGGTTCTCCCTCCTCCTTATTCTCGGTTGATCCTTACACAGGCAGAACGAGCCAAGTAACTCTTAGTAAACAAAATAATATCAGGCACTTAGCTTCGACTCTGAAAGCTCATGCCACGTTTGCTCTGACAGTATTTGCCTCTGTTGTGGTTCAAACAGGCCAATATCACCCGGGACATTGTGATTTTAACCTTTTATCCAATATCTGCTTTGAGTTTGATAAGACTCTTCAGGGCAGTGTCACTGAGCCTGGTGCTCAGTGCTGTTATATCCTCTCTGCCTGGTTTTAGGTTCCTACTGCTACCAACCAGAGATACAGTATTTTAGTCAACTAAAAAAATAAACAAAAGTTTTAAAACTAATTAAAACTTGTGCAATTGTCAAGCAATGTAAATCTAGACAGCATTAAGTTTAGTATGGTACTTTAGGACCATTTCTCTGTTTTAGAATTTAACTACTTTAATAATATGCATGATATATATA